GGTAGGAACAGTTAACTTTGTACACCCAAGACCTACACTTAGTACTAGTACTTATTATGGTCACATACTAACTAAACGTTATACAAGTAAGGACTGGAGAAATCTACGAACACTTGAGACAGACTTTCAGGTCTGGGATAGTTTTTTGTGGAGTAGAGGTGTTCTTGGCACTGGGCAGAGTGTTGAACTGGGAGTTAAGATGCTTTTTTAGCAAATCGTTGTGATGCCTGAGCCTCAGGAGGTTCAGAAGGCCTAGGGCTTTAGGCAGGAAGCAGTCCTCTGCTGGCCTCTCCCCTGTTCTCATTCCCATCTACCTTTCTGTGAGCATCTCCCTCGCTCATGTCTCTTGACAATATGATTGCACTTACAGGCCATATCAGGTTGTTAGAGTTCTTTGGTTTCGCAGACACAGCAAGTTTCTCGGATGGGTCTTGTCCATTAGCCTCCCTTTGGGACATATTTTAGTACCTTTAATATTTGATGTTAGTAAAAATTTAAGGGTTGATTCTAAATAGTTGTGGAAGGATACCAGGAGATGAATTGCCACGGGATGAGAGAGATCACTTGGATTGGCTTTTGGAGGGATCAGGTGGAACATGGAATACAGGAAACAGGAGATGAGGCTTGAGGGCTGTATTGATAAGGGACCCTTGAATTCTGAGTGAGGGTTGGTACAGAAGTTGAGTCAGGCAGTGGGTTTTTGGGTTGGCTTTTGCCCCCCTTTTTTTCAAATAAGGGTCTTCAGAACAGTATTCTCCAATACATGGGTCTGTATTGGTCCTGGGCTGCTTTTTGCCTGTTGGGGTATTATTGTCTTTCAGGCTTCTTCTGGCCTCAACTGTAAATGGTACCTGGGGCCGGGAAACCCAGAAGCACTCCTGGTATTGGAAGTGTGTGTCGGCTGAGAATCCCCTAACCTGGTTCTGATTTCTGCTCTGCAGCTGACTTGCTGTGTCACCCAGAACAAATGATAAAAATCTTTCAGCTTATCTGTTGGAAACAATAAGGCCCAGAGAGAGGAACTGCATTTCCCCAGATTTGCTCAGTTGATCTCAGAGGCCTCTAGAGACCTATGCCAGTATGTTTCCTGTATTTGGAGGCCCACTAGGTGAAAATTTTAGGGATGCTTAATGATCTGCTGCTACAACACTAAGCTGCTATCCTGTAGGTGTTGTGAGCTGTGCTTTTGGTAGTTTCTGGGGAAAGGTTACCACTCATGGTACCTTGCTTTTTAGCCACCAGGAAACATCCCCCAAGTGTAGGAAGGAATGAGTTTTAGTGAGGCAGAGATGAGAGCGTGTAGCATAGTCTTGGATGGAGGGAAATAGGAGCAAAACTTGGGGTTTCCTTTCCTAGGGAAAAGGGATTCTGGGAACTTTTTGTCTGTTAACATTGAGGTTCTTTTTCTCTTCAGAAATGGCACCTCGAAAGGGGAAGGAAAAGAAGGAAGAACAGGTCATAAGCCTTGGACCTCAGGTGGCCGAAGGAGAGAATGTATTTGGTGTGTGCCACATCTTTGCATCCTTCAATGACACCTTTGTTCATGTCACTGATCTTTCTGGCAAGTGAGTATACCTGGGTAGAGAGGCACAAGAGGCTGGGGGAAGAAGTGACTTTGGGCTGGGTAGCAGTTTAGGGGGTTCTCCCTAAAGAATTACTGTATTGTTCAGGTGAAAAAACATGCATGCTCATTTAGTCCACAAATGTGATTTCCTGGGAGTTACAAGAGACACATTCTGTCCTTCGAGTGTGGTAGTATATAAAGTGTTAATAAGAAGTTTCGCAGTGCTGAGCTTTTCAGCCCCACTAGACTGTGAACCCCATGAAGGCAGAGCTCATGGTGGTCTCGTCTGGGATCAGTATTCGTGTTCAAGTTGACCATCCTCCATCCTCTGCCATACCTGAGCTCTGGTGCTGTGCACTCTTTAGGACATGGTAAGCACTCAGTGAATCCTTGTTGGATGAGAAAGAAACAACCCTGTGCTTTGTCCGCCTCCAGGGAAACCATCTGCCGAGTGACTGGTGGGATGAAGGTGAAGGCTGACCGGGATGAATCCTCACCATATGCTGCCATGTTGGCGGCCCAGGATGTGGCCCAGAGGTGCAAGGAGCTGGGCATCACTGCCCTGCACATCAAACTCCGGGCCACGGGAGGAAATAGGTATGTCAGGCTGGGGCTGGGTGGTGATAACGACCACTGGGCTTGGGTGCCAGAGCACTTGGATTTTTTTGTTCTTGTGACCTCGAACAAGATGTTTTGGTTGTATGCATATTTAATAGTTGGCCCCTTTGTGCACCCCCGCCCCCAGAAACTTAGTGTTTATTGAGGACCCACTGCCTATCAGGTGCTGAGTTCTAGATACTAGAAAAGAGCAACAGGGAAACCTAGAAACTGCCCTCCTAGTGTGGCACTTATCT